AACCCACATAAATACAAAATTATATATCTATATAATAATAATAGATAGTATTAATTGTTTTGCGCAAATCCCCGCTCAACAGCAAGCTCTATGCACTTCGCAATATATACTATTACCCCAGCAGACCCGAGAGCATTCCGAAACAACCTCATCTTCATTGGAAGCATACCGTGCAAGCGGCCATTTATAGGTGCTAAAACACTAACATATCTACAAGATCTTTCGCTGTCTATGGCCGGGTGCCTATTCCCACTTTGGTGAAGTGAGAAAATTTCGTGTAAAGTGCCTTTCCCAAGGACACAACGTCGGGACCCCGAACCCGCAACCTCACGATTACGAGTCCGGTAGTCTAACCACTGGCAACCGACGCCACACAGAAGCACATCCACACACACACACACACACACACACACACACACACACACACACACACACACATACACACGCACACATACACGCACATATACTCACACACATGCAATAAGCTCAAACTCACCCAATAATATATTATACCCCCAACTACACAGCCATCAGTGTAAGCTTTTGCACAAATACATCTACTTTACCAAATGAACCTCAGGCAGAATATTGCAGAATCATGTGTTAACATGATTAGCACAGGATGTTTTCCCTGTCCTTCCCATAAACGAACAGAAGACGCATCGTTGTCACAAACGTAATGCAATCAAACTTCCCCGATGCACACGCCATCAATCTTTAATGAAGTACGAATTCGTCTCTATTAACTCTTTCACTGCAGAGCCGAAAACACAACAGGAAGAGATAAAAGGGTGAAGGATTCAAATACTATAATGTCTATGTACAGTAAAAGTGGTTATGGTGTCGCACTCTTAAGCTAGGTCTTGTGTTTGATTTCCGGCTCATAAGGTTAAAATATTGTATCAAAGGAAAAGGTATGTTATTCCACTGTCGAAAGAACATCTAGTTATACATGACTAGAAATTAAAAACAATATGTGGCTACAGTAATTTGGTAAAAGATTGTTGTCTGTGCTTTGTATGATGCAACGCTGTATGTCTCTATCCCATGGGATTGAAGCAGCAAAGATGACCAGTCAAACAATTAATATTGGCTTTGTGGAGATGAGTGACTTTATGTAGGGCGGGATGACATGTTTCTCATCTGTCAGAAACCGACTATATCGCAGGCAAATGTTTTTCTAGAAGTTCACTAACGACGAGAAAAAAAAGGAAGACAGACCGAAGAACATTTAGACAGAGAGAAAGACAGAAAATAAACGGACGGACAGACAAGCAAACAGGCAGGCAGTTAGACAGGCGGGCAAACAGACAAACAAATAAGAAAACCAGGAGGCTGATTCACATAATTACTGACAGGCTGGCAAATTGACAGATGGGTGGAAGGACGTGTTGATTTGAAGAGAACACTTAACGAGTGAAGAAAAGAAGAAAAAAAAGAAAAAAAAACAGAGAAAGAAGAATACAAAATAGATAAAGGAAGTCCAAAAGTCAGAGGGTCAAAAGAAGGATTTCTATGCAGGCTGTATTTAGTTTACAGTTTCTGATGGAAAACACTTTCGTTTGAACAGAACCACTAATTTATTCACTAACACGCACGTACTCACCAATCACAACAAATCAAAGCGTGCTTGATCGAAGACGAAAGGCGTTGTAGTATATCGATTTCTCCGGCTACAAGTGATCGAAAAATCCAAGCCAGGTGTCAGGGCAAGTTACCAAAGTCCAGGCACTGCTAGCACTGCGTGGTGAGATCAAAAAGGTAGTTACAGGCAACTGTGTCGTTAACTCAGAATTACAAAGTTCTGTCTGCTCAGTTTCTAGTTTTATTAAGAAATTTGACCTTAAAAAATTCTTGTTTCACAATAATGTTATGTCAAACTTTTCGAATGCTATTCTTTGAACATTTTGATAACGACTCAGAATAATAATAATATTACGATTTTGATTAAGCAGATAGAACAAATAATTTCTGACCTCATGGACTTAGTAACTCAAAACGGCCAAAAAATGTCAGATAGAACATTGTAATTCTGAAGCAGAGTGTTGGATCGTGTTCATTAACTCTCTCTAGCCGTACTGATTTTGAGAGATTATAGCTAATTAACCGTGCACAGTCAGTGTTGGACAATGGGGATTATAAGATTGGAATGTTGTAGTTAATGGTTTCTGTCCTTTCTGTGGCTTTATAAACACTACGGGTGAGGGGTGAGTTATTATACAAGTTTAAAATCTCGAACTTTCGTGACTAAAACTCTTATTTACTGGTTACATCCAATCTTATTGGATAATTCTTGGATAATACTTTAAAAAAATAATAAAAGAGGATTTTTAAAAAGACTACATTGAAGATTTGCTGTGCGGGAAAGTAAGTTGATAGTTGATATAACTCTATTCGAAACAACTATAGTATAATAAATGTGAGTAAATATTTATACGTACACACTCACTCATACACACACACACAT